TTCTCACTCTTACTCCTCCAATTCTCTCCCCCATCCCATCATTGTAGGGGGAGTGAGCGAGCAGCTGCATGGTGCTTAGTTGCTGGCTGGGGCTAAACCACGACACAAAGATATGGAAATACCAGGAAAGAGGTCAGAATCCTGCTATTTTGGATAACAGACTGAAAAAAAGACAGTAGGAACTACAGCTATAAAATCCTGTATTATGAAAGCTGGGCACAACTGGAACTCTCACTTTTGCCTTGCATGGTAAGAAAAAGCAGATTTCAGATTTTACACAAAAGTAATTTCATTTCCAAAAGATTGAAAGAGAAGACAAGGAGTGCCTACAGCCCACACCATTTGTAGTACCTGTACATAATGTAGCAAAGCTGATTCAAGCTCACAGAATCCATGCTGAGAAGCGCTGGGTAGAATACTCCAGCAGGAGGCATTATCAGCAAAGGCAGATTGTACCTCAGATACATGTCACACACCTGCAGAAATGAAGCAAATCCAGGCAGATTATTACTGCCATTAACAAATCCCAAAGCATCTAAGAGCAAAAGAGAGCATGATGCTGCATTCCAGCCAGTGCCATCAACTTCTCCTAGGAGGGAAGGCCAGGGTGAAGAAATTCTATTTGTTAGCTTCTCAGTACGAGACATATTCATCAGTTCATATCTCAGTCTCTGCTTCAATCATTTAGGTATACCATATGTTTTGACATGGTTACTTGCTGAGTCAAATCTACCCAGATAGATCCCTGTAAGAAAGCAGCAGCCATTTTTTCCTGATCTTTTAGATCATTCAACATACATAGCTGGGATTGCACTGGAGTTGACCGTGTTCCTAGCCCGGTTTTCTGATACCAGCCAAGCCAAACAGACCATACAACTCTTCCAGTTGGGAAATTAGATCTTTCTATTTCACCTTGCTGGAATTGCATGAATACATGATAAAGCTTTGCTCTAAGAAAAGATGATATGGCCATAAAACATGGGTTTAGAATTTAAGGTTGAGTTTCAAGTAAAAAAGTCATTTTAAAGTTTCTGCAGATTTAACAAAATCTTCAGCTATAATGACAATCTTAAAGTATGGATAAATAATTGAAAGCAATATTGCTGTAACTTAATGTATTAGTGTCCTTTATAGCTTAGCCACAGTAACTATTCCCAAAGGTATGGTCTTCAGAAAGGTATGCATCATTCTCAGAAGAGCAGTGGTCTAAGAATATGCATATCTAGTTACTACAGCTCAGACCATAAACAACTAAGCTGTGACAGCCTGCCATCTCGAAGATGGATACTTTTTACATTTTGTTAAATTAGGCACAACAATTGTTTTAGGACTCCATCCCCTAATCACATAATAGGCTTCTCACTAGTTTGCCAGACTGTCACCTTTCCTCTTGCCCTCAGTACAGCTATGCCATATAAGGTATAGGCAGATATTTGTATGTAACAATTACTGGTATTTTCAGAAATTTAGACTCTTTACTTAATATCTCAGCTGCATGATTTTCAAAATCTCTAGAGTTCTGAATACATAAGCAAAACGTCAAGAAAAAATTCAAATCCTAGTTGTCTGCTAGAGCACCAATAATTATATATCGAAGGGTGCATGATTCTCTGTATATTCCTATAAAATGAGCATTTACTTATTTTAAACACAGCCTTATGCCAATGTTATTGCCCACTAGTTTTGTGCCTTTTTAATGGTCATTTTAGTTACAAGTAGATTCCAGAATTATCATTGTTTATTCAACTCTTCACAATTTTATCCAAATTGTAGGAGCAACAACAGCACGGCTGGAGTTCACACATCAGTAAGCACATCTACAGAGAGGACGTGAGGAAGCTAGAGACTAGTCTTAAGCCTATTTGATGCTGCTTATTTTGTCTACAGGACAAACGGGGGAAAAAACTTAATTTTTTAAGGGAACATTTAAGGAAAAAATCAGGATATGGTGTTTGAAATGGAATGGAACATTGTTCTTTTCTATAAATTAGCATAAAAAGCACATTATGCCATATTGTTACTTCCCCGTCCACATTTCCCTTCTGACTTGGGAGCAATTGCTTTCTAGCAGCATATTTAGTTCTGCCTATGGATGCAACAGCAGCAGCTATCACCTGTAGATCTACCAAGTATTTGGAACATTCTTGCATTTAATCACAAAGTTATATTAACTACAATGAGGAAGGTGTTTTCATGCTCTAGCTTAGAAAATGCAAATAGCCTTAGAGTATTGGGATTTTGAAAGCCAAAATGAATGGGATACATACAGTCTCATAGAAATCCAGGATGAAGTACAGCAAGAAAGTAGGATTGTTTTCCAAACGCAATGCAACAGTAGAGATCCACCCAACAAAGTGGATCAGTTCAGCCACCACATTCACTAGTCCAGACAGGGTGGTATTCCTGCAGCAATGACATGACGCAACATTAGTATATACATCTCTTTGCAAATGGTAAAAAGGAAAAGTGGTAAAAAGGAAACTGAAGTTTATCCTTCTGCCCAACCAAACATTCAGCAACATGCATTTGTTCTTCAACATACCCAGTAACATATTGTTACCAACATTATTACAAACATGACCCAGCTGTCGGTATTACAAGGATTTTGACTTCTGGACATTTCAATTTTCAGTGTCAATAGAAATACTTTTAAAGAAGGAGAAAGAACAGGATTGACAGGGTAGCTTACAATATAGCAGAAACATTACAGCCTTATTAACCTCTAGTCAGTCTTTATGCTAGGTAGTAGGGCTCGAATACATATCTAAATACACTAGTGAACAATGCACAGAACACTGTGTTGCATTTATTTCAGACAAACTTACAAAGAATGGACTTGAGAGTCAGACTCTGAATCCAGATGAATCACGTGCCAATTTAACCAGTTCAGCAACAGCTCTTTCAGGCTCTCAAGAACACTGCACTGCAAGAGGCAAAAAGAAAACAGGTTGATAACAATTTACATAAGTGAATAATACTAAACAAAACAATGCCATGAGAATTGACACATACAAGGAAAGATACCAAAAGTTTCTCAGGACCACAAAAAGCAGCAAGATAACTGCTTGTCCCCTTGAATTGAATGTATGTGTTATGCAGCTTTTCCTGGAGAACGCGAGTTTCAAATACTGAGGTAAAATTGCAATAAAACAAGCCAACTATTGTCTTGTGTACTATCAGTTCTTTTTATTTCCAGTGTCCCAGTTTAATTCCAGTCAAAAAAGAAAACGTCTTAAGGGAACTCAAATTCCCAAAGTTACACCGTAAGTATATATTTTACCCTCATTTGGGCACAGACTTCCCCCTATACCGTCCCTCAGACTGCTACACCTGACACAAGTGCAGACAGCAATATCAACTAGAAGCAAACAGCCACTGTACTCACTTAAATTACCTTAAAGTAAAGGGACGATGTGAAAAAGAGCTGTGCCAGGGGATCATAGAGATGTGACTTCATTTCTGAAACAAATGAGAAAGCAGCATGATATCTGTCCACAAATTCTATCCCCCAAGCTCAGACACTATCCTCACCCAAAGGATCTGCAACACGTACCAGAGAAGTTGCTGAGGGGGATCCAGCTCACAAGTCTGAGTATTTGTGATCGACAACAGAAGCCATCCCAGAGAGGAAGGCTCTTATACAGGAACTCTTCACAGGAAGAAAATCCCTCCTACAAAGCAGAAGATGAACATTCAAAAACTCATCTCGTATGGCTGCACCTTGCCATGCTCACTTCACCCTGGAGAAAGAAAGAGGCTTACACCTCCTTCCTGCCATACAGTTCACCAGGACATTCAAATTATCATTCTCAATATCATTCTTAAATTTTCTTTCTTGCAGAAAACAAGGCCATCTCCAGAATACTGACTTGCTACAGGCATATGTATTTTTATTACTCAAGACACTGTCACTCCTCAGAGATACTACAGGAAACAGGTTAAGTCCCAAAACTACTTTAAGGGAAGACTTTGTGAAACCCTTGGCTTCCACAAAACAGGCACTTACCTGCAAGAAACACTCTGTCTTGTAGACAGTTTCCAGGAAGTCCTTGAATTCTTCTTCATACTGGTTATTATCAGCCACACACCAGGTGCATTCTCAACAGGAGAGGATATGAATATGAGTATTTGAAAGAGTATTAGGAGAATACGAATATTAGGAGAGTATTTGAATATAAGCACAGCAAGAATAAGCACAATCAGAAACACAATCCAGTTCTCTTCCAGTGGTTGTTTTAATGCTATGTGATTATCACTATAGATCTGAATAGCAAAGTACCATTACTGAAAGGTGAAAAGCCTCAGGCAAACTTTACCTCCCTACCATGCAAGGTAATACTAAATTCCTACCTTCCTGAAGAGTCTGGCCCATCCAATAGTAGAGCCTCAGGTAAATAGATTCATCTTTGATGCAATTCATGTAGTGAAGCAATAAAGGGTTTGTTAGGACTGAACCCATCTGGGAAGGAAACTGCAAGATAAATAAAAAAAAGACAAGACTTATTCAGTATTTACATCAGCAAATTGCCAGAGAATCTCATTCTATCAGTTGTCCAATCCTTTTATGGGCAACAAGACCATCTCCAGGACTCATTCATCACCCTCATGTAGGACTAGATGCTCTGTCAGAACTAGGTAGCCCACACACTATTCACATGTAAACAGGGTATATGGAAATATCCTTTGATCTCTCAAAACATTCAGTAAGCTTACCGAGACCTTCCTGAAACTCACCTCTAGATGGTGAATATTTTGTAGGAGCTGAGAAAAAGTCTGCAGCTGCTCCACTGGAAAAGACTCATTTGTACTGTACAAATCAATACGGTTCTTTTCCCTGTCCTCTTCTAAATTATTTTTGGTTTTACTCCTTACAGGTATAATCAACTGGGTATTCCACTTCTGTAGAAAAGAAACACAAGTGAATAGAATGATTTGGTTTCCAATGCAATCAAGTGCACTTGTGACCAGTGTTCCTATAAAGATCCTGTTTTGCAAAAAAGGTATCCAGGCTTTCATTATAATGGGAATGCTGCATTTTTATATAGCTACTCCACCCTTCCCAGAGCTGAAATAAAGCCTGACTCCCATTATTTGCCAATATTCACAACAAAACCAGCTGCTTGGCACCTTCTAGGATCTACCTTAGGCCCATAACCTACCCTTTTTCGTGACTGAGGTTGAGCTGTGCCTAAAAACAGTGGCTGAGACACTGGAGAGTTCTGGTTTCTTCGCCTTACTGTGTTAATTGCTGCTTTCCATGGGCCCTCCGAATTCTTGAAGTAAGTCTGAAAACATAAATCAGACATCCATGCAAGAAGCCAAACTAAGACAAAGCGACAGAAAGATCAGTTTCTATTCTGATAAACGCCACTACAGCGATATACACTCAACTCTGACTGACAGACCAAGAGGCTAGGTTTTCACAGCACAGAACTCTTGTCATTTCTCAGTTTTCATTACCTTTTGACTATAGTTCAACAGTTATGCTTTTATTTCCTTCTGAAATGATGTTCCCTTTTTCACAAGAGATCTCCAACATTTATAATCCTCATTCAGATCAATCATCATTTCATAGAGTAAATCTCAAGTATACATTAAAATAAAACATGACCAAGGTATGCTTATAAGTTACTAGGAAATCTTCCTGAATTCAGCATCAGTGATATCTAAACAGAACGATTCAATGAGTAATTGCATTCTTGAATTAATGTAGATGCTACAGCTAAAAAGAAAACTGGAAAAATTAACCCAACAACTTTTCGGCACGAAACTTATTTTTCATCACTTCAATTGCAATCAGTCTTTAAATCCTAATCAAGTGCCAAACCATCACAAAAGTATTCAGATTGGTTTGGGCCTAGGTAATCAAGCTTCTATTACACAAGTTAACACAGTGTGTTCATAAAAACAGTTGAAGATGTATCCAGGTTTTATTTGCTAGCTATTTACTTCACTTCTGTGCATGCAAAAAAATGTAAATTCTCCAACAGACGACTGCGCAGCACAATGCGAGGTATAAATTTATAGAGCAATGTAAGTACACAAGCAGATTAAAATAAAAAAATTTTATTTTACAGAAGCACTACTTGCCTACATATAAATTAAATGACTCTTCAAAAAAAAAAACCAAACTCTAGGTCTATCCCATTGAAGTACCAAAAGAAAATTTGTTGCAGAATTTAGGTCTCACCTGCTGCTATTTTCTGTTATATATTCAGTTTCTGCTACAAATATTCTACTTGGTCAAAGGGCTAAGTATACACATAAACCTGTCTAAAAGCAGAGTCATTTTTTGCTGTTACCTTGAGGCTCTGACAAACCAGCTTACCCCATTTTTCTCCACTTTTTTCCTCTTTCCTATGACGTAGACTTTCCAAGTGGGAAGTTAGTTACTGACTTCCACTGTTATTTGTACTTGAGAAAGTCAGCAATTTGGAAAATGCCTTGTACAAATAAGACAGTTTGTTTCCTGAAGAACTTAACATTATGCAAAACAAGTCAAAACAGCAAGAACACCAAAAGGAGGATTACAGTAACCCTCATAAGGATAAAGGTAGATGCCATTCCATTCCAAATCATCTCATTGTGCTGAAGAGGGAACAAAACACAAGGCAAGGAATCCTCATCTAAACCTGATTTTACTTAGTGAAGAGGAAACAGATTTAATCTGCAGCATTAAATCATGCCATAGGTTAAATGGAAAGCTCGGCACAAATACCGTTGTAAGTACTGGTTCCAAATAGATTAATAGATCCAAATAGATCTAATTCCTTACCTTCATTTTCCCAGGAAGTGTTATGGTTACCAGCTCAGGACAGAAGAGTTTGTAAAGTGATAGCAGAGCCTGCAGATGAGACTGCATTCCCTGTCAAACAGCAGAATAAAAGGAAACACACGTGGGGTATGTTTTTAATATAAAAACTGAATACTGTATTCTAGAAGAACCCCCCCGCCCCCCGCAATTACTAAAAGCTTTCTAAAGCTACACAGCTGTAAGTAACCACAGATGTAACCAATGAACTGAAAATGAAAGGAAGAACAGAAAATGTATCAATGAAATACCATAGGAAGGGGATTGAAGAAGGAACTTCTCATAACTCTAATAAAAATTAATTTAACAATCGAAACTATGAAAAATACACTCTTCTGCTGTCTAAACAATCCAAAAACATGTTGTTATAGCTACAGGTTTTTTCTTACAAAAAAGGGAGCAAGATCCTCTACAATCTTATATTTCTCAGTCATTTTTGATACCACTTGAAAAAGGAAGATTAATAGAAGATTAAAGATGGTAATAGATAAATGCAGCTGTCCCTCACTTCAGAGATTTTACCACACCTAGCCATAAAACATATAGCTTTGTGCATGTCATTGCATGTGCTCACAAAACACAGATGAAAATTAGGGATGCAAATGCAAGATAGACAAGCCCTGATGTTACAAAGACTACAACCTACAATTCCAAGTCTAACCCTGTCCTGAGACAGTAGCCACTCTTCTCCATCCTGTAAGGACATTAGTCTTACAAAGTGCATTATTAACGAACAGTTCAGACTCTACAAGATTTGAAATAAACTCACCATTTTTGCTTGGAGGTCAATCAGTCTCCTAATCCGAAAAGGCTTGACTGGGTACACAATTAAGAACATAATGGATTTAAAAACCACTGTATAGGACATTTAAGCAAAAATGCAATATCACTTTTATTACAGAAAGTCACGGCAAAGCAAGCAGAACCAATTAGTCTTATTTCTAGGCTAACAGACAGGTTTCCAATTCAGAAAGCATTACACAAATTAGGCTGAACTACCATTCATGCTTCCTTGCCTTAACAGCAATGTATTGGCTAGTCATTGTATTAGCCCCATTGGAAAAAAAAAGGCAGTGCCAGCAAACAGAATAAGAAACAAAATGGTATTCCATCTCATACAATTGGATCTACTCACCACTTTCTTTCCTGGTCAGCAGGTAGAGCAGGTGGCAGACATAGGGGCACTGCAAGGAAAAGGCAGCAATGAACTATCCTGCTGGTGTAGACTGCTAACCAGGATACACTAAAAGCAACACAGAGGCTTCACAAGCTAATATCGCTTCATTCAGTTGGCTGCCTCAAGTCATCGCTGCATCCCCACTGGGGCAGAGCATACCTTACTTCCTTAGGAAGTAGCATGTTTTTTACATGTCACATATGTCAATTTTATTTAGAAATATTATCTGCACTATGAATAGTCCCTATAATAATCAAGCTATTCAGTGAGTTTGGATCCTATTTTTTGAAATATGGTCTAGATATTTCAGGAGTCAGCAGTGAAAGTACAGTTACATTTTCAAAACGAAAGGCACCTTTGAATCAAAATAATTTGTTAGAGCTTCTAACTGCAGTTGAGGCTGTAAGGGTCTTAAATTAGTTTCACACCAACTCTGCTGCACTTTCCAATTGGCCCATCATGCCTGAAAATGTTATTTTAAACAGTAAGAACTGAAATCGAGTTTTATGAAAAGATTATGAAAACCATAAAAAACTTTGCAAGAAATACAACTCAGAACTTTGGGAACTTTAAAAGTCTTAACCACAAAATATCCTAAACTGAAAGAATATTAACAATTTCATATCTAACATGACTGCCAAGATCATCTTAATATGAACTGAATCCAAACACTTCAATGTTCCAGCACCTGGATTTTACCGTTGCCATATAGCAGAAATCTCCTGATTGCTTGTTCTGATTTAAGCTACATTTCAAAACAATTAAGTAGAACAGCATTTAGAATTTCTCACCTTTAAATAAACATTGCTCTAAAAGGTTTTTTTTCTTTCTGCCAAGGTATGCAAGTGGAGTGGGAGATTTCACCTGCTGATGTCTGACATCAAAGGCAATCCCAGAGACTGTGCAGTGTCATAGTTACTCTTGGGAATTTAGACAGAATACACTCTCACTCTGTGATGCAGAATAGCAATTCTTGGAAACATGTTTAAATAACCAGACCACAGCATTGAAACCAAAATAATCCTACAGTACCTCTCTGTTTCTGAATCTAAATTACCCAGCAATCTTAGAATGCAAAATGAAAAAAAAAAAAAAGAAAATAAATTCCAGCTATCAGAAAATAGTCTTTAACCAACAGCTACTCCAGACTAATTCTAGCATTAATATACATGCACTAATGAACATTTAGGCTTATTTTGTCAATTCCATATATTCTTCAGCTCTCCTTACCATCTTCTCATCTTGCAGGAAGGAAAAGAAGAAACCATAGAGGGCATGAAGTTGTTCCTTGTGATCAATGAAGTCAAACATTGTGATCAGCCACCTTAAAAAAAGTAGCTGCAGATAGGAAAAAAGCCATATTACATTAAGTGATGGGCAAAGGCAAGACAGACCAGTCAGTAGCCAATTTAAGAGACAATCATTAAGGATACATGCCACTCTCAAGGACAACCAGATAGCTACAGATGAACAGTACAGGGATAACTCAGCTGTGGAAGAAAACCTGCCAAGAGCACCAGCTGCCATATCAGAATGGAAAAAACAGCTCAGTTCTGAATATGTGCTAACCCTCAGATAGGATCTGAGGGCACTTCACTACAAGAGAGACATTGAGGTGCTGGAACGTGTCCAAAGCAGAGCAACGAAGCTGGTGAAGGGTCTAGAGCACAAGTCTCATGAGGAGTGGCTGAGGGAACTGGGGTTGTTTAGTCTGGAGAAAGAGAGGCTCAGGGGAGACCTTGTAACTCTCTACAACTACCTGAAAGGAGGTTGCAGCGAGGTGGGTATCGGTCTTTTTTCCCAGGTAACAAGTGATAGGACAAGAGGAAACGGCCTCAAGTTGCACCAGGGGAGGTTTAGATTGGATATTAGGAAAAACTTCTTCACCAAAAGAGTTATCAAGCACTAGAACAGGCTGCCCAGGGAAACGGTTGAGTCACCATCCCTGGAAGTCTTTTAAAGACTTGTAGACAAGGCGCTTAGGGACATGGTTTAGTGGTGGACTTGACAGCATTAGGTTTAGAGTTGGACTCGATGATCTTAAGGGTCTTTTCCAACCTAAATGATGCTATGACGTAAGCCTTTGAGCAGACTACGTGAAGAGAAAAAAAAAGACTGTTTTGCTAACATTAAGTCATGTTGCTATGGCCAAGGTACACAGAATCTAAGGGAAACCTTGCTGAAGTTGGTGAAGAATGCCTCACATGGCTAAAGTATTTCACGGAAATGTTGGTGGAGAAACCATTCCTAAGGAATCCGGAGATACAAGACAAGCAGGAAGCGTGCAAATTTCCACTCACACTTAAAAAGTGTTCCTTGGTTCCCACTGCTGTTCCAGCAATGGGTGTCTCTGCCAATCTTTCTTACATAAGATACCATCATTTAGAATGTTGTACATTAAAACCTCAGGATTTTTGCTTCCTGAAAGTAATCTGTCCTTATCATTCCTGTGCAGAAGCAATACCTACTGTAAACATTTACTAAGGTACCTGGATGTTGCCTGAGCATTTGCTGACACAGAGCCAAGATACAGATGAAACCACAGAAGTTTCTGGTATTACTGAGGCTGGAACCAGGCTCTTCAGTAAACGAGTATTCACTGTATCAGCTGGAAAACAAACAATTTAAAATAAGATGGTGCTCATGTACCAGGTTCTTGGATATAATTTTGCAGCTTAGGTCCAAATTCCCTCTGGACAAGATTATTCAGAGCTTCATTGCTTAAAGTAACAGTGCACAAGAATCTAGCAGGGACTTACCTATACCTCAAAAAGTTATGAGAAACATTTCTTTCCAGCTTAAAGAAAACGGAATATCATGTATTTTAGTACTGAAATAGCCTTTAGTCTCTTGGCTAGACAACCAAAATTAACACAAATTTCTGGTCATATTAAATGACCAATTCCTTCAGCAAAACAGTATATGACTGTCAGCCAAACATCAGCAGATTACTGTTCTGGAGATAAGCTAGTAATTTTAAATCAAGAAAAGCACTAAACTACTTGCATAATGGGGAAAGAATCCTGTGTGCTCCTCTTGGGTTGGAGGGAAGGGAAAGTTTAGGGGTTTTTTCTTTGAATATTTCATTATTTATAAGTATAAATGGTGGCCACCACTTCTAAGAAAGCAGCATGAGGACTGCACTGACACTGCTGAACTGATTGTTAGGATGACATTTTAATTTTAGCAAGTTTCACTAATACAACTATGTCACATTGTTCAATTATTTTGACCTTGGGGAAAAGAAACCTACACAAACAATTACAACAAAGAAAAGACACAATTGCTGCTAAGGACTCACTTTAAGCCTTTCACAGACCTGCAATTACGAACAAAGGAAATAAACTTTTCAAGAAGTATTTGTAACAAGCCATAATTTTTTTCTGGGTATCACTCCCCTGTAGCAAGAACTGAGGTTATTTTTAGCATGAACTCAGAAATTACACTGCAGCATGCCAGAAAGATGAATTTTACGCTGAAGTACCTAACAATACAGTCACAGTAAACATATTATCTCAAGTAGGTTTGGTTAGAGGGGAAAGAGACATTCACAGAAGACATGCTAACAGTATATAAATGTTTTACCAAGTTTGCCACTGAGTGCCACATTTAGCAATACATCAAATCCTTCAGGGGGTAACCCTCTTTGCAGGGCAATGCTCTCCACAGTAGTCAAGTGTTTCTGTAGAACACTGTTCTTTTTCAGTGAAACACGGTCTTGAACTAGGAGGAAACAAACAAACAAAAAGACAACAAACACAAGAATGAAACAACTTCTGAACTGAAAATGAACTATTTTAAACTTCTCTGAACTGTCCCTACATATATTCCTTTCTGTTGGGTTCTTTATATAGTAACAGAAATGGGAAAACCTTTTAAGACATTAAAGAAATATTACAAAGCTCAGGCATTAAAGAGGGAAAACAGCAGGTAAAATTATATTTTTATTATTATTATTATTAAGAAATTAGTTATTATCTTTTCAATCCTAGGTAGCTAACCTTAAAACTACTCTTACCTGTCTCAAAGTAGCTCAAAGCTTCCTCAAGGGAGTCTTGCTTGCTGTCATTTTTCTGATCATTAAGAGACTGATGATTCTGCACACTTTTTTCAGGGTCAATTCTCCCTCCTTTTCGCCATGCAGAGAGATCTGTTTGAGTTTTATGGTGAAGAACTTGCAGAGGCTGCTTTGGGGTCTTAGAACTCCGTCTTCGCTGCATCTTTTCAGACTTCCAGCTGAGACTGGAGAAATTTACTCATTTGTCATGTGGGTTCCAATAATTCATTACGAAGAGGCAAGAAAATAGATCAACCTCCAACAGCTGAAGAACATCAGAGAGACTGTTCCCTGCAAGAAACGAAAAATATGTTTTCCTAACAAACAGATTTTAGAGGGATCCTGTGTAAGGTAACAGAGGAACTCCAGAGGAAAACATTTAGAGCTGCCTGCCCCCAAAAGATCAGACAATATACTCAGAAGATGCACAGACACCAGTGTATCAAAACTCCATTATTTTTCACTAAAAA